TGTCGGGTGTGCATCAGTGAGTGTGTCGGGTGTGCATCAGTGAGTGTGTCGGGTGTGCATCAGTGAGTGTGTCGGGTGTGCATCAGTGAGTGTGTCGGGTGTGCATCAGTGAGTGTGTCGGGTGTGCATCAGTGAGTGTGTCGGGTGTGCATCAGTGAGTGTGTCGGGTGTGCATCAGTGAGTGTGTCGGGTGTGCATCAGTGAGTGTGTCGGGTGTGCAGCAGTGAGTGTGTCGGGTGTGCAGCAGTGAGTGTGTCGGGTGTGCATCAGTGAGTGTGTCGGGTGTGCATCAGTGAGTGTGTCGGGTGTGCATCAGTGAGTGTGTCGGGTGTGCATCAGTGAGTGTGTCGGGTGTGCAGCAGTGAGTGTGTCGGGTGTGCAGCAGTGAGTGTGTCGGGTGTGCATCAGTGAGTGTGTCGGGTGTACAGCAGTGAGTGTGTCGGGTGTGCATCAGTGAGTGTGTCGGGTGTGCATCAGTGAGTGTGTCGGGTGTGCATCAGTGAGTGTGTCGGGTGTGCATCAGTGAGTGTGTCGGGTGTGCATCAGTGAGTGTGTCGGGTGTGCATCAGTGAGTGTGTCGGGTGTGCATCAGTGAGTGTGTCGGGTGTGCATCAGTGAGTGTGTCGGGTGTGCATCAGTGAGTGTGTCGGGTGTGCATCAGTGAGTGTGTCGGGTGTGCATCAGTGAGTGTGTCGGGTGTGCATCAGTGAGTGTGTCGGGTGTGCATCAGTGAGTGTGTCGGGTGTACAGCAGTGAGTGTGTCGGGTGTGCATCAGTGAGTGTGTCGGGTGTACAGCAGTGAGTGTGTCGGGTGTGCATCAGTGAGTGTGTCGGGTGTGCATCAGTGAGTGTGTCGGGTGTGCAGCAGTGAGTGTGTCGGGTGTGCATCAGTGAGTGTGTCGGGTGTGCATCAGTGAGTGTGTCGGGTGTGCATCAGTGAGTGTGTCGGGTGTACAGCAGTGAGTGTGTCGGGTGTGCATCAGTGAGTGTGTCGGGTGTACATCAGTGAGTGTGTCGGGTGTACAGCAGTGAGTGTGTCGGGTGTGCATCAGTGAGTGTGTCGGGTGTGCATCAGTGAGTGTGTCGGGTGTACAGCAGTGAGTGTGTCGGGTGTGCATCAGTGAGTGTGTCGGGTGTGCATCAGTGAGTGTGTCGGGTGTGCAGCAGTGAGTGTGTCGGGTGTGCATCAGTGAGTGTGTCGGGTGTGCATCAGTGAGTGTGTCGGGTGTGCAGCAGTGAGTGTGTCGGGTGTGCAGCAGTGAGTGTGTCGGGTGTGCAGCAGTGAGTGTGTCGGGTGTGCATCAGTGAGTGTGTCGGGTGTACAGCAGTGAGTGTGTCGGGTGTGCATCAGTGAGTGTGTCGGGTGTGCATCAGTGAGTGTGTCGGGTGTGCAGCAGTGAGTGTGTCGGGTGTGCATCAGTGAGTGTGTCGGGTGTGCATCAGTGAGTGTGTCGGGTGTGCAGCAGTGAGTGTGTCGGGTGTGCATCAGTGAGTGTGTCGGGTGTGCAGCAGTGAGTGTGTCGGGTGTGCATCAGTGAGTGTGTCGGGTGTACAGCAGTGAGTGTGTCGGGTGTACAGCAGTGAGTGTGTCGGGTGTGCATCAGTGAGTGTGTCGGGTGTGCATCAGTGAGTGTGTCGGGTGTACAGCAGTGAGTGTGTCGGGTGTGCATCAGTGAGTGTGTCGGGTGTGCATCAGTGAGTGTGTCGGGTGTGCATCAGTGAGTGTGTCGGGTGTGCATCAGTGAGTGTGTCGGGTGTGCATCAGTGAGTGTGTCGGGTGTCCAGCAGTGAGTGTGTCGGGTGTGCAGCAGTGAGTGTGTCGGGTGTGCATCAGTGAGTGTGTCGGGTGTGCATCAGTGAGTGTGTCGGGTGTGCAGCAGTGAGTGTGTCGGGTGTGCATCAGTGAGTGTGTCGGGTGTGCATCAGTGAGTGTGTCGGGTGTGCAGCAGTGAGTGTGTCGGGTGTGCATCAGTGAGTGTGTCGGGTGTGCATCAGTGAGTGTGTCGGGTGTGCAGCAGTGAGTGTGTCGGGTGTGCATCAGTGAGTGTGTCGGGTGTGCAGCAGTGAGTGTGTCGGGTGTGCATCAGTGAGTGTGTCGGGTGTGCATCAGTGAGTGTGTCGGGTGTGCATCAGTGAGTGTGTCGGGTGTGCATCAGTGAGTGTGTCGGGTGTGCAGCAGTGAGTGTGTCGGGTGTGCATCAGTGAGTGTGTCGGGTGTGCAGCAGTGAGTGTGTCGGGTGTGCATCAGTGAGTGTGTCGGGTGTACAGCAGTGAGTGTGTCGGGTGTGCATCAGTGAGTGTGTCGGGTGTGCATCAGTGAGTGTGTCGGGTGTGCAGCAGTGAGTGTGTCGGGTGTGCATCAGTGAGTGTGTCGGGTGTGCATCAGTGAGTGTGTCGGGTGTGCAGCAGTGAGTGTGTCGGGTGTGCATCAGTGAGTGTGTCGGGTGTGCAGCAGTGAGTGTGTCGCAGTGAGTGTGTCGGGTGTGCATCAGTGAGTGTGTCGGGTGTGCATCAGTGAGTGTGTCGGGTGTGCATCAGTGAGTGTGTCGGGTGTGCATCAGTGAGTGTGTCGGGTGTGCATCAGTGAGTGTGTCGGGTGTGCATCAGTGAGTGTGTCGGGTGTGCATCAGTGAGTGTGTCGGGTGTGCATCAGTGAGTGTGTCGGGTGTACAGCAGTGAGTGTGTCGGGTGTACAGCAGTGAGTGTGTCGGGTGTGCATCAGTGAGTGTGTCGGGTGTGCATCAGTGAGTGTGTCGGGTGTACAGCAGTGAGTGTGTCGGGTGTGCATCAGTGAGTGTGTCGGGTGTGCATCAGTGAGTGTGTCGGGTGTGCATCAGTGAGTGTGTCGGGTGTGCATCAGTGAGTGTGTCGGGTGTGCATCAGTGAGTGTGTCGGGTGTCCAGCAGTGAGTGTGTCGGGTGTGCAGCAGTGAGTGTGTCGGGTGTGCATCAGTGAGTGTGTCGGGTGTGCATCAGTGAGTGTGTCGGGTGTGCATCAGTGAGTGTGTCGGGTGTGCATCAGTGAGTGTGTCGGGTGTGCATCAGTGAGTGTGTCGGGTGTGCATCAGTGAGTGTGTCGGGTGTGCATCAGTGAGTGTGTCGGGTGTGCATCAGTGAGTGTGTCGGGTGTGCATCAGTGAGTGTGTCGGGTGTACAGCAGTGAGTGTGTCGGGTGTGCATCAGTGAGTGTGTCGGGTGTGCATCAGTGAGTGTGTCGGGTGTGCATCAGTGAGTGTGTCGGGTGTGCATCAGTGAGTGTGTCGGGTGTCCAGCAGTGAGTGTGTCGGGTGTGCAGCAGTGAGTGTGTCGGGTGTGCATCAGTGAGTGTGTCGGGTGTGCATCAGTGAGTGTGTCGGGTGTGCATCAGTGAGTGTGTCGGGTGTGCATCAGTGAGTGTGTCGGGTGTGCATCAGTGAGGGTGTCGGGTGTGCATCAGTGAGTGTGTCGGGTGTACAGCAGTGAGTGTGTCGGGTGTGCATCAGTGAGTGTGTCGGGTGTACAGCAGTGAGTGTGTCGGGTGTGCATCAGTGAGTGTGTCGGGTGTACAGCAGTGAGTGTGTCGGGTGTGCATCAGTGAGTGTGTCGGGTGTACAGCAGTGAGTGTGTCGGGTGTGCATCAGTGAGTGTGTCGGGTGTACAGCAGTGAGTGTGTCGGGTGTACAGCAGTGAGTGTGTCGGGTGTGCATCAGTGAGTGTGTCGGGTGTGCATCAGTGAGTGTGTCGGGTGTGCATCAGTGAGTGTGTCGGGTGTGCATCAGTGCATTGGGTGCGCATGTCACTGGACATGATCCGATGTCTTAAAGGGACAGTGCGTAATAAACCTAATGCGTTTGTGTCCTCAAGCAACAAAAGAAAAAGAGAATAGCATTCACTGCTCGTTAATAGCTTTAATAACGATTCATTATATTTAATTCATACAAATAAATATGTCTGCTTGAAAGAATAAAGAATGATGTATGCAAGTAGTTATAGAATGCATATCATTCATTGAAAAGACTGTTCTACTTTAGGAAAAGTGGTTTTATTTAATTTT